AGGATCACCAGGCAACAACTGCCAATGATCAAACACACACTATGGGAATGCTTAACTTCCAGTGCTGCCACGAAGATCACTAGTAAATCCTAATAATTTAGCAATAGTAGTAAAAATAATTTTTATTTTTTACATGCAAATGATTGTCATTAATATTTTTACTGTACGGTAGAATAAACAAAACAAAATTTTACATGTTATAATCATCATGTGAATGTATGTTTATTATACATATACAGTAAAATAAACAAAAAATTTTTATGTCAGGAAACATCTGCAAAATATTGGCCAGTAAACTATGCACATATCAGAGTGTTTGTAGTTAAGAGTGTGTGTATTCTTACCAAAAGATTTGTTGACAGGTAGATAAGCTTTCGCAACAAACATTGATGTACCAGCCAGTGGACATTCCTCAAAAATGTGTCCTCTCCGACAATTAAGAATAGAATAAATGTTACCTATAACACTAATCAGGACACTATAGAAACAAAAGCACACAACATTGAATAGAAAATCCAGTAGTTACCATGAATGTGACCAATAAATTACAATTATGATGTTAAACACCTGATTACCTTTATTATAGTGAAAATTATAAAAGTGTAGAATTCTCTCCTTTATAATAAAAAATTTTGCCAATACCATGCATATGGTCTGACTTTTAAGCAAATTTAAAAATTTTGTAAAAAATGTAATTTTGATTGAAATGAGCTCAAACTTTCTACACAACATAAAAAAACATATATAAAGCTATGCATCAGAAAAATTATTAAAATAGAAAATAATAATAACTTTTCAATTTTGACAAAAATTTGGCCAAAGTCCCTCTATAGTGCAGGGACTTTCATCGAATTATTGAGCAACTTTTAAAATTTGTAACAAATCTAATTTTTATTGGATTTAGCTCCAACTATTTACGCAACATAATAATAGCCATTCTTGATGGTTTCTTTTAGCATTACTGGGTATTTTACATAGTTATACCATAATTATTGTGAGGCTTTATA